GGTTATATATTTATTTATTTATATAAATAATTATTTATATATGTGTGTATGTATAGGTCAAAATTTCGGATTTTTGAAATGTGAAAATTATTTTGTTATTTTTGAAATATGGTAAAGATAAAGTAGGAGAAATAAATTTTTCCATTATATAATCAATATTAAACATTAATTTTAATTACACATTAGACAGACAACTATTATTCTCTTATCCAACTTTTGTGTTTTTGTTTTTGTATCTCAAGTTCTCAACAAGGAAAACAAGCAAATAATCTAGAGTAAAAGATGATAAACTTTCATTGACAAGACAAAACCTAGTACACAAGGTAAATATACTTAAGACAAGTCAATAACAAAAGCTTCCGAAAATCATGCCGTTTGATGAAAATTTTTTGAAAATAAATTTTGTGAGAAATTATTTTTTTGAAAGAGTTATTCTTAAAAAATAGAAAAATACTGTGGTCAAAGTATAAAATTATTTTTTTAAAAAATTAGGTGGTTAAAAAGAAGTTTGATGAAAAATAAAATTCGTACCAAACAAGGGCAAAGTAAAATTTTGAAATAATCAGAAGTAAAAGTAAAAAAAGAAAAACCGTAAATTGTCGTAACTCCAAAACACAAACATGAAATTACAATTATACCCACCTTCCATCCATTATTCTTCCACCATTATTTATGGCAAACCCTCTAACCAGAAATAATAAATGCTATATAAATTTCAAACAATTGAAGGAAATTCACAACTTAGATTTCAAAAAATCACAAGCAAGATGCTGAAAATAATATTTACCCTTTTAATGAACAGATAAAGATGCCATAAATTAACAATAAATTAGGAAATAAAAGACTATCTGACCAAAAAACCCTCAAAGGAGGAGGAGGAGGAACCAAATTACAGAAATAGATACTGGGATTCTTCAAGAATTTGCCAAATCTAGGCAGATTGTGATACTGTATGTATAGTAACTCTTGTAGGCATAGAACTGTATATAACAAGAAAAGTGGAAAGTGGGTCCCATGGTGAAACCCAATAAAAGCAAAGCCTGGGCTTAATGCGGCAACGATGAGTCGGGAATAGAGTCATACACTGTGTACAATAGCCATGCAAAAGCTTGCCGTTTCAGTGCCATTTGGTGCAATATAAATTACGCCTCTCTGTATTCTTTTCCTCTCTCTCTTTCACCTTATTTGGCAAGCCCTTTTCTTTTCCCTTTTTAGTCAAAACCCTCTGAAAACTGCTCCCTCTGTATCCATTTATAAACATGCATGCGTAGATAAACTGTTGAGCGAAAGAGATTGAAGAGGAGTTACTCTTTTGGGATTTTGAATCCGTTATTTTTGTGGGTTTTTGGAGAGAAAAAATGGGTCGTGGAAAGATCGAGATAAAGAAGATCGAGAACTCCAATAGCAGGCAAGTTACATTCTCCAAGAGGCGTCAAGGTCTGCTGAAGAAGGCCTACGAACTGTCTGTTCTTTGTGAAGCGGATGTTGCCGTCATTATTTTTTCCAGCACTGGGAAGCTTTTTGAGTTCTCCAGTTCAAAGTAATTGCCCTTTTCTTATGGTTTTTTCGATTTTTCTATTTCAGTCTATGTTTTTTAGTTTTAATTTCTTTGAGGTTTCTAATGATGACATTCTTGTATGTTTTATTAATTAATTCTGATATGGATTTGGTAATCCTCAACATTGCATGTCAGCATGTAGATTTTTGATTGTTAAGATTGTGGATTTTGTTAGATTTTTCAGTTATTTTTTAATTAAAGAATTAATCTTGTTTTTTAAAAGAATATTTCTTTTGATTTTGAATTTGTGAATCTTGAATATTGGAACTAGAAATTAGTCAATTTGAGGTTAGAAAAAGCAGAGAGGTAATGAATTAGAGATCAAGAAGGCCAAAAGTGCCAAAGTTTTGGTTGCTACATGAATAAATGAATTCAATTCAATTTCTTTAAGAATTAAACAATTTAATTTCTTTAAGAAATAAATGAATTGAAGCCCTCACGATCTTGATGTTTTTGCCTATTTATATGTGTTTATGATGCAGCATGCAGACCATACTTTCAAGATACAGCAAGAGTATGGGCTCTTCACAGGTTTCTACACCGGAAATGAAGCCGGAGGTATGTTACTCTCAATTTGCCTAATTTTGGCCTATCTTGGCCTGCTCCCTTCCTCCACTCTGTTTTGCTACCTTTCTTTCTCTCTCAGCGCAAACCCGATGATATTAAAGCCTACAATATCTTTGATACACACGCACGATTGTGCTAACACAATCCACTTGTAAATTTATATGTCCTTCAAATATGTAATTAGTTAAGACAGACTAACTGAGCAAATTCAACCTTGTGAATCTGTAGTTCCAATTAGTTACAGAAGCTACATATCTTTGAAGGTAATAATTGGATGAAGTTGAGAAAGATAGTTTGCAAGGATATCATGCCGACCTCTATGCATTGTACCAGTAACTTTATTAATAAAGTGTATACCTTAGTTAAAGTAATTGGGTTTTGGTCCATCTTTGTTGAGTGGTTAATGTTGTTTCATACAATTTATCAAATGAGTTGAATTTTCTCTGTAATTTCTCTTTAAGTTTTACCAGAAGCAGGACTCGAAGGAAATGGATGTTCTCAAAGAGGAGATAGAAAAGCTGCAAATGAAGCATTTGTAAGATTTCCTTTAGTTATCTCAATGTCAATCACTAATAGCATGTTCTGTTGGGAGGATTTGATAGCACGGAATATAACTAAGAAAAAGATGTTAAAATCTTGTTAAGTGCTATCCAATACTCGTACCAAACATGCACTATATGTTTGGGAAATCTGAATTTCATTATATCTATTGCCTGTGTTGTTTAGGCAATTGTTGGGTAAAGACCTTACTGAGATAGGCTTACGAGAATTGGGAGAGCTAGAACAGCAACTAAATGAAGGGCTCTTAAGCATAAAGGAGAGAAAGGTTAGGCATTTATCGTTTTCTTTTTTCACTTGTATTAGCTTTCACCAAGCGAAATCTCCAATTCTGTATTTAGTCAGCAATATATGTCTTGAGTTCTGAAGATATTTTGGCTCCATAACAGAGTGTTCTACATTTTCAGGAACAAATATTGAAGGAGCAACTTGCACAATCAAGATTGCAGGTAAACCCAAGTCCATGATTTCCCTTTTTTTCACCCACTGGTGAGAGTGAAACTATAAGTTAAGCATGTTATGGAATTCGTAGTGATGACAATTCCTCCTGCAAATTTAGACATCTTTTCCTTTGTGTAAGCAGTTTCTTTCCTATGTAGGAACAACGAGCCATGCTGGAGAATGAGATTTTACTCAAACAGGCAAACCAAGTTTTTGTTTATGCAGATGAATAATTCCAATATCTTGCTCTTTCGTTTATGAATTTTACCTGAGACTACAACTTTGGCTTGACATTGAATGTAGGTTGAAGACCTTCGAGGCTGCTTTCCATCCACCAGCCCTAGTAAGCCACTTTCTAATGAGAACCACCCGGTGGATTCTGCCATCAGAGTAGGCTCTGTAAGTCCTGAAACAGTAAGGAATTTAGGACTTGTAGAAGACGATTCAGATACCACCTTGCAATTGGGGTATTTTATTTCCCTTGAATCTACCTCCCTTACCTCCCGTGCGAGTGCATCATTTTCTCTTATTTCATGTATCCTGCACTTATGAATATATGTTGGAGGATATATGGCAGTCAATTTAATTGATACCTTTCTGAGTATATCGTATATCTAAATTTGTTAACTTTATTTTCGAATCATTTTCTGTCTATTCCTTTTTTTGGTATTCACATCTACCTTTTGTTGTTCAGGCCCCCGACTGGGGTTTGTCGAAAGAAGATAAGGATGCCCTGATGGAGAAACACAACTAATTAACTGAAAGACACAAACCAGCATACCGTTATCTTTCTTGTCTCCTTTCATGTGTATTAGTACCAGTTTGAGAGATATTAATCCTAAGTACCTGGATGAAGCTATGTTGAAGCATCATTCATCAGTGTATTATCTTTTCATGACTTCAAGATGATCGAAACACCGGTTTAGTTTTAGACAATGTAATTCACAGTTCTGGTTTTCGGAAGAAAAAGAATGTTACAGCAGTGCCTGAATGGTTTTCATAACTTGTGCTTGCTTTTTTCAATTGTGACTGCATAAGAACCTTGGAGGAACCCCAGAGTTTTGCCCCAACAGTAGAAGATTAAAATAGACAGTTCGAATTTTGAAATGTTTTCTTTTCGTTATTGATATACAAGAATCTATTTATCATATGTACAACGAATCATATAACTCTACCTATGGCTCATGTCTCTTGAATCGGAAGTTTTCGAGCAATTGATTTCTGGTAGCTAAAAGTTGAGAAAACAAAGATTGTGTTTGCTTTTCGATTTCCTGCAGTGAATTCTCTAGCACAACCAATCTTCTCGTCAGTTCCTTGGCGGCCTCCTTGCATCTTTCAGTAGATATTTCCGCAGCAAGATGCATGGCTGCATCTTGTACCTCTTTCACCTCTTTCATGGCACCTGGTTTTTCATTGATCTCTTTGCAAGATCTTAAATTCAGGCAGTTTGTGTTGGAACCATTGAAGTTCCCTGCTGATTTTCTTGTTTCCATGCCCGATAATATCGCATCAAGCACCCAAAATTCAATGCTCTTCATTGCTGAGAAAGCTTGAAGAATGACAGATTCCTTCCCAAAACAAGATTTTTCTTCAATCCCAGAAAATAACCCTTCCACTTTAAAATCCTCTACAAGTTTGATACTACTGCATTTTGGTTGGTTTTGCAGCAGATTTTCCTTTGCAGAAGAAGGGGAGTTTTCAACCAGGCTCAAAGCATAGAAAAGGGAAATCTTAGCCTGTATCATATGGGAAATGGAAGACGTAATAGAATTCAACATGTCCATGGACTGTAAACTGTATTTGAAAAATTCTTCAGCGGCGGCTCCACCCCATGCCGTCATGGGGTAGTCTATTTCCACCACCAGCCTAGTAAAATCCTTGTTAATCATATCCAACACCTCAAAACATTTCTGAACCCATGTCAAGGACATAAATTCTTGTCCTTCCACTGGTTTCAACAAGATTTGGCTCGTACAATTCGCTATTTTGGATCGAAAACAGTTTAAAGAAGCCGATAAGGCTCCGGGATTTAAGGCGTGATTTTCCAGCCTGATGGGAGATTTGAGTGAACGGCCAAGCCTTTGTGCCAAGAGTACTACCAACGCAAACAAACAGAAATCAGAAAGTTTAGTTTTGATAAATATATCATATGTGATATAAGTATATTTTGTATTTATGTTAAATATATGATTTTTGACCAACAATATTTTGTATTTAATTTTGTCAGTTTCCTTTCCTATTTTTTAATGTAATTTCTGATTCTTTTTCTTTTTCTTTTAAATATAAATTATAAGCAAGTGGGACAACATGTGATTC